GAAAACAAATTCATCCTTTATAAACTGTCCCATGTTTGAAACTTTGAACCACTTATTGACATATATTGACATTTTGTCATCATCTGCCATGTAATCTTGATAAATGGACTTAGGTATATCTAACAACAAATATGAGTTAGGTTCTTGAAGAGGTCAACTACATTAGCTAGATGACAGTTTCTGTCTCAGGCTTCAGACCTTACTTGTTACTTGTTAAGTTGGTGGCATCTTCCACTGTATCATATCTTACCTTAATCAGTTCGGCTCTTCTTTGAGGATCAATACCTGCAACTCCAAAAATCATTTTCTCTGCTGAGACATCCATTTGTATTGGGACCTCAAACCCCGCAAAAGCAACATCACGCCTCCACTGCAGAGGAAAAACTCCTTCAGTTGATTCTCAAATCTTGTACATAGGTCAGCAGCCATTAGTTTTAATTAAGATCCGCTTCACACATATTCAGATCATAATATAAAAAGAAAAGTTTGTGGCAACTTACAAGTATTACAGCACATACTCAGTAATGGAATCAAGAATCAAGACAGCTAAACAAATTAAAATGAACATGGTCTCCAAGTTTGGTAACATATGTGACATAGACTATCTAATTTCAAAATTCCTGGATGAACTCATTCTCTAAATACCTCTCCTTCTCCACTCATCTTTCAAAAATTGGAACTTTAGGGATTGTGCTTCCCAAAGAAGAAACAAAAAAGATTAATTTAGCCTCACTTTGCCTGTTGGAACTGGTCATTGCACGTACTTTGCCTAAGAAAACATGTCACCAAAGCCAAATTGAACACAGAAAACAGAATAACAAACCCCACCACCCCAATCCAATTTGAAGAAAGCAGGGAACAATAGCAATTGGCAAGGGAACTCTAATGCTAAGCTCTCCTCCAAGATAGCAGAGATCACCGGAAGACGTCAAAGCAGTGTCGTGGAAAGTTGATCGTCCCAGCACTCGAACCATATGCGGCTCCACCATGTGCTTTCCTCCCAATATCTTCAGTATCGTTGTTTTCCCTATCAATTATGCAAAAAAATTGGAGGAAGAAGCATAAATCAAAGTCCATTTTCACGAACACAAACTAACTAACCAGCGCCATTAGAACCGACGAGCAGACATCGATCACCGGCGTTGAGCGTGAGAGAGAAATCGTCAATAACAGGTGTCGACCCGGGCGGCGGTTTGCCGTCAATTCCAGGGTAAGTGAATCTCAGTCCATTGATCTCCACGGCCGGCGAAGAACGCTCCGTTACTCCCATCTTCTTTCTCCCACAGATGAGTGGGTATGAGTAGGTGAAGGGGAGCGCTGTTCTTAGTAAAACCATTCGAGGCGTGGTATTTATATATTTTCGTCAGGCCGTCGAACGCCGACGGAACATCGAAAACCGTCGTCGAAAAGTGAAGTTTAGACACGTGGCCGCATTCCTGCCTAGTGTAGGATTTTCCAGAAAATTAGTTTCCATAAGAAAGGGCAAAATAGGAAAACAAAACACTCAACCGCGCTGAAATTATTTCCGAAGATTGTTAGGGTTCGTTTGGAGTTCTCAGATCGGAATTCTAATTCTCCGATTCACCAATATCAGTTTCTCAGATTTGATTTCGAGAGAATGGCAGCAATTTACAGCCTTTACATCATAAACAAATCGGGTGGTTTGATCTTCTACAAGGTACCAATTTTTCTTTCTCAAAATTCTAATGATTTTTCTGTTTGTTTCTCTGGGAAATGCTCGGGCTGAATTTTCTAGATGGAATGAAATAAATTTTTAGCTAAGTTGGTTCAAATTAGTGATTTTTAAGTGAAAATTTGTGGGTTTTTTTTTTTTTTTAGGATTATGGTTCTAAGGGACGCATGGATACAAATGATAGCTTGAGAGTGGCAAGTTTATGGCACTCGATGCACGCGATCTCTCAGCAGTTGTCGCCCACAACTGGTTGTTCGGGCATTGAACTGCTTGAAGCTGACACATTTGATCTTCATTGCTTTCAATCTCTTACTGGTACTCCTCGCTCTAACTTATCTCATGATGAAATTTTTCTTACTGATAATTGTTATTATAACGTGAGTATCGAAACGTTGGTCTGACTAGTCCTATGAGTATTTGCGAATTATTATTGTAGATCTAAGGGAAAGGAAGGAATTTCTTGTGAACTTTGTAAATTTGGAATGGAGTTCTAGGATGATTGTATTATTGGGTGTGGAAGATCTTATATTCCAAATCTTACTAATCGAAAAAAAAAAAAAGCAGGAGAAAGCCATTACAAAGCATTTTATGTATGAACTTGCCTCCTCCTTGAATATATGGTTTTTTATGTTGTGTCTGAAATTTTGCCTGTTAGAAGCCTGTGAACTTTAATGCAGGAGTTAGCAGTTAAGCCTAAAATGTGTGAAGAAGCTAATGATGTTTGGAAGAATAGCAATGCTGCCTGTTGATGGTTGAACTTATATTTGAGAGCGTGTAAGGTGCCAAATCTGGATTGGTTTTGCTAGTTCTGTGATTCAACTGTTCAAGTGACAATTTATGGTGTCTTAGTCTGCAATTCTGGCTTTTTAAGTTGAGACGATCTTTTACAATACAAGCATAGAAGTGAAGTTTGAAAAAGGCAGTCTTAACATGCCTGTTTCTCCGCATCATTATTCATAGACATTATAGTAGGAAAATGTGGAGTTCTTGGTTTATAATAGATTTATTTATGCATTTGTTATACAGGAACGAAGTTCTTTGTGGTTTGTGAACCTGGGACACAGCACATGGAGGCTCTGTTGAAAGTCATCTATGAACTGTACACAGATTATGTGTTGAAGAATCCCTTCTATGAGATGGAAATGCCTATACGATGTGAACTCTTTGACATCAACTTGACACAGGCAATTCAAAAGGATCGTGTGGCGTTGTTGGGACGTTGAACCCACTCAACATAACCAAATTCAAATTGTTCTTATTTTGTTATCTTCATGTTTACATCTCCGATATGAAAGGGTATGAGCTACTTTTTACAGATGTCTGGTTCATGATGGTGAAGCATTTACAGGATTGGATTACTATTAGTGTTGCCTTTTCGATTACTAAAGACAAACTTCTTTAATGAGTAGAGTTGCCTTCATGTTCTAAATGTTGTGTACAGAGCCAAGATCATGTTATTGTCTATTGCATGGCTTTACAGGCAATGGAGATCCTTGTTTTTAATGATTCTGACATTAAACAGTATCAGCAACTATGATTTGCATTTGATATTAAATTCAAAGGAAAGATTGTTGGTGTGCTAAAACTTGTGGTGCAACAGCCCAAAAAGATACCCTGCTGCAGAGACTAGAATTGTGATGGTGCCTCACTATATTTGTATCATCCAAGCATACAAGCTATTATAGGATTGAGACTCAAACAATGCTGTGTTATAAGGAGAAACACCAAAGTAATCTCAATTACATTTTCAAACTGGCTCAAAATACATTCCATAGTTTTGAATTATATGATATGGTATGGCAAAACCTTGGACGCATTCATGCATGCTCTATAATATATGCAACTGATCTTTTGAACTCATGGACAACCTAGTCAAAACAAGAACTGTACAGCAATCAATATGATTCATGCCTCTTAAAACTCTAGATGCCCTTGACCTTCGAATCAGCAAACCAATTGGGGCTACAACAACAAAAAAAAAATTTATCCTAAACATGAAGTGGTGAAGCAGAGGGCCTCGGATTACCAGTTGATCTACTATTGGGATGGCAATGAGTATTTCCCTTTTGCCCACTTTTCTGCATGTTTCTCGGCTCCCGGAGCTGCTCTAGTGCTGTTACCACCTCATCCATGTTTGGCCTGAATTTGGGTTCTACAGCTAAGCATTGAAGGGCGAGGTTGGCTGCTTTTTGGGCTTGATCTAACAAGTATTGCCCTTCAAGACGTGGATCCATTACACGGAATATTCTGCGTTTGTTAGTCAGGTAAGGTTTTGCCCACTCCACCAAGTTGTGCTCTCCAGAAGGTCGGTTCTTGTCTATGGCTCGTCGGGCAGAGAGCATTTCTAGCAGAACAACTCCAAAACTGTATATGTCACTCTTGGCCGTCAAATGACCTACACAAAAGAAAATGAAAAGACAATCAATATTAAAATGTATTACGTTCAACTCATATACCACTAACAAATAGCTAGATGAACCCTGAATCAAGCAGATTTATAAAACCCAGGAATCACTGATTTGAAGAATTAAGAATCTCAAAGCAACTTATGTAATATTAATTGACTGTTCTATATATCCCACTGATGAGTGGTTCATAGGATAATTACTTTTAACTTTAATGTGTTGAAAGGAGTGAATGACTGTAAAAACCCTTTGTCGATGGAACCTTGAAATGACCACACGGTAGATCAGCTATGCAAAGTAAGAAATGAGATTAAAGAAGACAAAACCAAAAAAAAAAAAAAATCAAAGGTAAAGGCAATCCCATACTAGATCATTCATATAGAGTAGAATAGAGAGCGAATGCCAAACAGATTTTAGAGATAGAATACCTGTGGCTAGATACTCTGGAGCAGCATATCCATAGGTTCCCACAACCCTAGTGGACACATGACTCTTGTCGCCAGTTGGCCCATCCCTAGCCAACCCAAAATCAGAAAGTTTTGCGTTGTAGTTCTACAAATATGAACCAAACCAGCAGTTGATAAATACATAAATACACGTGAACCTAAAATTTCAACAAATTCAACTACACCACAGAGATCTGTAAGGAGACAAAACTGCCAGTTAAATTCCATACCGAATCAAGCAGGATATTAGAAGTTTTGAAGTCGCGATATATAACTTGTGGTTTAGCGTTGTGAAGAAAGGCAAGTCCCCTAGCGGCTCCAAGGGCAACTTTCACTCGGATGCTCCAAGAAAGAGGCTGAAAGTGAGAACCTCCTGTTTAAATGAATACAACACTTCAGCTTCAAAACATTAATTTGGTAGGGGGGGATAGGGGCTGATGCTTCACTTCATAGATATGAAAGTATCATGGACTGGAATTGCAGTCACCAAAATGTGGATAAGGAACTCACTCCTAAAAAGATGATTCTCCATGCTACCACGAGACATGAACTCATATACCAGAAGTCGATGGTCATCCTCATAACAGAAACCAATCAACTTTACAAGATTGGGATGATGCAATTGCCCAAGGTAATTGATTTCAGCCTAGATCCCAGATTACAAGCAAAATAATCAAATTATTATTCTCTTAAGCAAATATTCAGAGAACTGTTGCATTCATTCAAAAGCAAATGTTCGGGTAATTGATAAATGCATAAAAACATCCACAGCCATGCCTACGGCCTAAAAGATAGGATCCTTATACTAAATACTAATACAATCAGCGTAAGGCAATATGAACAAATTAAAACCCACCACAAAGGCATCCTTGTGTGCACAACTTCCCCTAAATTATAAGGAAGTCGCAGCAATAACCTAAAAAGCATAGAAGCAGATATTACAGCATTTCCAAAAATGAAAAAAATTGAAGCTAAAAAGTCTGAAACAAAACTTACCATCCATTCTCTATCACCTTGGAACCCTTCCTGATTCAGCCTCTTCACAGCAATTACTATGCCAGTTCCAGGCTTGGTAGCTATAAGTGAATGCTCATCAATCCATCCTTTGAAAACAGAACCAAAACCACCCTCTCCTAACATGCTGTCCGGCCTGAAGTTTCTGGTGGCTGTTCTAAGCTCATTGAAGCTGAAATTCTTTAAATTTGAAGACTGTAAAATCTCACCCTCACTCCGTGGAGTTTGTGGTACTGAAGATGATGAGACTTTGCTACCAGAAACACTCAAATTGTTCCCATCTCTGCTCACAATTTTCGAATTCACTCCTGCACAACAACCAATTAACAAACGTTCCAAAATATTATCAGAAATTTGTTTCCCCTAAATCAAATTCTCACTAAAGACACCAAATTTATCCCTGAAAATAATCGCATCACTCATCAAAAAACACATAAACAAATGCAACAACTCCATTTTTCAATGAAGAAAGCAAATTTAACACTAAAAACCAGAACAAAGCTCAATCAAGGACTGAAAAACCTTACTGCACCCACCTGTATTAGAATTATTAACAGCCTTGATTCGGTTACTCCAGCACGCTCCCATCCAAACAGAACAAAAACCCAGGTCTTCTTTTCTCAATTCTTGACTTGCCCCAAATATTCAATTTCCTTGTTTAAAAGATCACGAAGCATCCTCGACAGCTGACACCAACTCAGCAAGATACCTAAATCTGACACGACCTTTTTTCACTTTTTGGACAACGAGAAGGAAAGATCATCGAAATGTAAACAGAAAGATGGTTCCTTGCTGATGTTGGGTTCTGCTTTCTTTTGGAACTTCCCCAACCATTTTATTTTATTACAGACAGTTGACTCAGTTTCTCATACCTTTGTCTCTTTTTCCCAGCTACCCAATTATACGGACAACAAAATTTAAATCTTTCTTTTTGGTAATAAATTTTTTATAGGGATAATAACTTAGATTTAGATTTTGGGTTATTATATGTAACAACTAACAACACTTCATTTATAAAACTTTTTCATATAATTTTTTTTACTCGTTTGATGTTTAGTTTTTTTCATTTTAGTATAAATCACAATATCATATACGGTTTATCTATTTTGTACATTAAATATATAAAAATAATAATTGTATAATAATAACAATTTTTTATTTTAAAATAATAAAATTAACTTTTATT